TCAGAGCATTTATTGCTCGGGGTAAGCCCCTGCATCGTGGGATACATTTTTTATTCTTTGCCAGTGCCAGCGGTGAAGGTGTGCGCGGTGTCCAAATACAGCCAATTGGAGGAGCGCGTGCAATAGCGCGCGCTCATTGGCTGAGCGGGCGCGTGACGTCGCCCGAGCCCCGCCCCCCCCGTACAACGAGAGCTAAAATTCCACCTCGTAGCAGCGCCACGTGCAGAGCGCTCTGCACACTGAACGCATTCGCATGAAGTCAAACTTAAAAGTCCATCAAGCCAGGAGGGTGACTTCATGGCCTTTGTCCCTGGAGATTCAGTAGTTACCCCCCCCCTTCGCCCTCCACAATTATTGTATTGTATTCTTGCGCGTGGTGGCAGCGGCGCGATGTTTAAAGGTGCCCGTGTCGAGGTGTGGCGCTGGACACGACAGTTTTCAGTTTTGAGTTTTATTTATTTGGTTTTACCCTGTGAGCCAATTCGGCTCTTGATTCGGGTGCAACCGCAACAAACAATACAATTACAAATACATTTAAAATTTACTGCACGCAAATTTGAACATCCTCTATATATATAAAAACGCATTTTTGTTTTTTTTAAGCAAGCGGGCTTCAAGGAGAGAGACAGGGAGAGAGGGAGAGAGAGAGAAAGTTCGTGTCGTTTTTTGCTGTTCCTCTTCATCCTCCTACGTTGAAAGTCGCGCAGACTACGGCCCCAGGGTTCGAGTTGCATAAAGCGTCACCTTGGCTGGGATGATTCGCGTTTTTCTCATGCTGCACGCTCGATAGATTTAACGAAGGAGACCGTCCTGTTAAATCTAAGAATACGCGTTTATAAGTTGGGGCCAGAACTTGGGCACACGCAGGGTCAGACAACAGGTGTCGAACTTATTTACGGGGCCAAGCCACTCGATCAGCCGGCCTGTGTGTGAAGTCGCGACAGAGAGACATAACTGACCCCGCCATAGGAATGTGGAATTTCGAACGCTTTGTAAAATATGAAATCATTATCTTCAGTGGCAGCAGCAGCAGCAATGATAGCAGCATTGGCTTAATCGTCATTATCATCGTCAGCAGCATCAGCAGCATCATCATCATCTGCAGCTGTTGAAGCAACAGCAGCAGCAACAGCATCAGCATCAACAACAACGCCATAGTCATCAGCAGCAGCATATTTAGCATCATCATCATGAGCAGCACCAATAACATTTACCATCGTGCAACATGAAACCAAACTCTCTTTTTGTCGAGTTGGCCAAACATCTCAATGCAGCAGGACTATCCCGCCACGTTGTCGTCAAATAATATCCGACTCAAGTATGAACGCTACATGGTGTTAGAAATGTTACGGCAGGGTGTGGGTTAACCAATTTGGAGGTTAGGCATAGGAGGAGGTGGTGGTTGTTGGTGGCGATGGGTGGGACGCGTGGTGTGCAGGGTGGTGGAGGCGTGCAAGGGGACCGAGACCGACAGTAGGTTGAAGACAGAGGCGAGGAGGAGACCTACATTCTCAGAGCTCGGCGTTCAGACACATGAAGCGCAGAGCCGAATGTGATCCGATGTTTGTGTGTGCAGCGGTCACTGGCGACCGGTTTGAGACCGTCAAACTCTCCGCATCTTGAGATTGCCGGCTTCATCAGGAGCGGCTGAATCCCGGCTTGGAACCTAGGGTCTCAGCAGTGCTGGATCGGTGTCTCTGACCCCCAGGGACGCCCGGCTTCCCACACATGTAGGTTTCTCGTCGTCGCCATAGGAATGTGGAATTTCCACCACCGGCTCAGGGCTGAAAACAGGAGATTGAGCTCCATTGCCTTAATGCTCATTTGAACAGGAACTCAGTTTGAGGTTCAGAAGAGAGAGTTGACCCTTTGACCTTTAGGTCGAGGGGTCAGACCAAGGCCGGAGCCATGGAGTCAACATTGGGGGGGGGGGACCAAATCTTCTAGGGGGCTTGAGGGCCCCCCCCCAGGAAAAAAATCTAAATTTGAAAACTCATTTCCTGCCTAAAATATAACTAAAATTCATTAACACATAGGATGGACTTTTTAATTGTATTTTGTACAATAATGTCTAATAGTGTATATTGTATTACATTGCTCTGTTTTTTTTTATTGTTTACCTTTTCTTGTTTCATTGTATGTCATGGCAGAGATTAAGGATTTATAAAGTAAAACCAGAACCACAATCATATAAACATAAATCTATTTTATAGCAATATATTGGGGGGGACATTTTGAGCATATTTGAATATTGGGGGGGGGGATGTGTCCCCCCGCCAACATATTATAATTACGGCCTTGAGTCAAGCAATATTAATCAATCACTCATCTGCCATCAGGTGCGGTTTCGCACTCACACGTCTGTGACCCAACACTTTGGAGGCAAGGGTTGGGTGGATCACACGGTCAAATGTCCACACCTTGCGGCCGGCCTGGTGTCGTGCTAAGAAGAGCAAGCGGGTTTCGCGAAACCATTCGTACGGATCTCTTGAGTGTCAGCTCCTCGTACACAGCGCGGTGCTGAGTTTGCTCTCGGGTTCTCGAGTTTCCTGCCGCGCTGAGCCACGTGGCTGCCTGCAATCCAGCACTGTGGAGGCAGCAGAGAGGGTTGACGGATCACCGCACAGCGATGTCACGACACTCCTTGCCCATCGGCGTCGATGAGAAGCCGGCACCCTGGCTGGCCAGGGGAAGATAGGACCGCAAATGTGGACTCCACCTGTTCCAGCTTTGCGTGGGATAGAGTGTTGTCCCTTCGCAACGCGTGGATTTACATTTTTTGTTTTGTTTTACCTGGCGCTTCGATTTCCTCCCACATGTAGGCAACGTTTGTGAATTTGGCTGAAGGCATTTTAAGATAAGCGGAGGTCTGCAGAGCTTGGGAAATCGTCGGTAGCCCCGGCGCGCTGCCTTCAAGCTCTTCGCCTGTGGCTCCCCCTCGCACCTCTGAGTCGTCCTCGCTATCTCTCTCCCTCCAGGAGAATGATTTTACATTACAAAACAATATACCGGTGTTAATTGTAGAATTTCGTCGTAAAAGTGTCCTTTGCAAAAAAAATCATTGCTGATACCAGTCGAACGCCGCGGTGTTGTTGGTCAGCAGCGCACTGGACGTGCAAATCCAGCGGCCGCCGTTTGGACTCCAGGCGATCAAAGAACGGGGCAGGGTCCTCAACCCCTCCCACCTCCTCTGCTCGTCCAGCGGCACAGCAACACGCGGGTTTACCACAGTCGATCAGCAGGCAGTTCGTGGTGGGGTACAGTGTGAGCACTTCCACGTCTTCATTGGCGTTAAAAGAGTAGGCCAAATACACTCGACTAGAGGGTGACTCTCGAGAGCTCCGCTCAAGCGGAGGCCCTTCCATCAGCAGTGCCGCGGGGCGGGCACTTGCAGGGGCTGCGCCTTTTTTTTTTCTCCTCGGAACGTGCCAACGGGATGAGGTGCGCAAACGTTCGATGTTTGGGTGGCGCTTCGGTCTACGCGCGAGCGCGTTGTGCACCGTGACAAGCGCGGCCCGAAGCGGAGGCGAGGGTGCTGGTGACCAGGGCGCGTGTCGGTGGCCCTCTCGGTGTCGGCCACGAGAATCGATGCTCCACGCTCGGTGCCCAAGCCCGGGAGGGAGCGCGCGGGCCAACACCGCCCGCCGGACTCTCTGGATGACGAGACGAGCTTCCTGTCCCGCCCTCCCCGCCCCCCATCTCTGGTTGTGGGCAATCTGTGGCGTTATCTCTGGTTGTGGAAAATCGGCGGCGTTATCTCTGGTTGTGGGCAATCTGTGGCGTTATCTCTGGTTGTGGACACCGGTGGCGTTATCTCTGGTTGTGGAAAATCGGCGGCGTTATCTCTGGTTTTGGGCAATGGGTGGCATTATCTCTGGTTGTGGGCAATGGGTGGCGTTATCTCTGGTTGTGGGCAATGGGTGGCGTTATCTCTGGTTGTGGGCAATCGGTGGCGTTATCTCTGGTTGTGGGTAATCTGTGGCGTTATCTCTGGTTGTGGACAATCTGTGGCGTTATCTCTGGTTGTGGACAATCTGTGGCGTAATCTCTGGTTGTGGGCAATCTGTGGCGTTATCTCTTGTTGTGGACAATCGGCGGCGTTATCTCTGGTTGAGGACAATCTGTGGCGTAATCTATGGCGGCGCGGGGCGATGAGCCCCGACTTCCGTAACGAGCGTTGGGGTCGTGGGTAGAATCCTTTGCCGGGCTCAGTGTGGGGTGTTGAAGGGGGGGGGAGGTGCCAGTGGCACTGGGCCAGGCTGCGTTCGCGCCGTCCAATGGGAACGCGGGGGGGTGGGGGGAGAGCCTCGAGGAATAACCCAACGCGTCCGTCACTACCGCAGCGTGGGCGGGCGCGTCCCGAAAATTAGATACGTAGCAGGCGGCGACGTTTCGGGCAATGGGCCCCTTTCGTAGCACATGGATGGTGAGGCCAGAGAAAACACATAGTAGATGATTGATGAGCATAGGAGTCGGAGGCTGCGCTTGTTTACACAATAGGCAGAGGGCCCGATGAGAATTAGTTTTTTGAATGAAGTTTTCAACAGGCAGCCTTTCGCGGGCAATATTATAATAATAAAAAAATCACCATTCGCAATTCATTTTTGGGTCTGATTGCGCAAGTGAAATTTGTGTGTCGTGCACCCTTCCCCCACACGACACAGCCAATGAATGAATTTGTCACGTGATGAACAAACGCGCCACACCGGTGCTGCTGCTGCTGTAACACTTTGGCCCCCTTTGATTCCCGTGACAACTATATTCATGCGTCGGGTGGAGGAGGGTGCACGACACAACGACGTTTTGGTTACTCGATGCGAGCCGAACAATGAATTATGAATCATGGAATGGGGGGCGGGGGGGGGGGTGGGAGCGCATTAACACACAGCCGTGGTGCGGGCCACCACCGCCCCATCTCTCGCTCTCCGTTCCGGCCTTAATAGGCGCTCGCTAACAGCACGTCTGCCTGTGCGTGGCGTGCGCTCGTGTTTGCGATGTAGGTGTCCTGGAGATCTCCACGGTGGAGCGAGGGGTGGTGAGCATGTTCGGCATGAAGGGCGGGCGATTCGTGGCGATGAACGCACGCGGGAAGATGTACGCAGCGGTAAGGCTCACAACCACAACGCGTGTCCACCTCGCCCCCCCCCCCCCCCCCCCCCGTGCCGGATGAAGCGAGTGCGGGGCCTGTAACACGATGTTTTAAAGGGGCCCTAAATTTTACGAAAAAAAAAACACCTAAATATTAAAACACATTAATGTTTAACTTGCACAGTAAAGTTTAACATGTAGGCTTTCGCGACCAATATTATTCATAATAAAGGTTTTTGGGTTAGTTCGCGTTTATTTATAAATGTGTCGTAACCCTCCACCACCCGACACGGCCAATCAGCAAAAAAAAGTGTCACGTTGACAAAAGACAATTCACTACTTTAGCCCACCGGTGTGTTGAAGAGTGAATCCACATTTACAGGTTGAGTACGACGTTTCGCTGGTAAATACATCCAGCATCATCGGGCAATTCGTCAGAATGGTAAAGCCCTCGCTTGCTCCCGGTTTTAAATAGAGCAGCAGGGTGACGTCATCACTTAACTCATATCAGGTGCAGTGATTAGAGGCGGGGGGGGGGTATTGTAATTATATAATGGATTAGTAATCAGTCATTGGTTATGATTAGTAATGAGTTGTAGATTAGCAATTCTTTAAATCAAAATGTAATGTGTATTATTTGATAATACGCTTCCAGGCCGCACTAAGCCTGTAGCTGTCAGAGAGTCTAGTGAGAGAGATTAAACACGTTAAAGACGCACTACGACAGAATGGCTACAATAATGCTCAAATTAACAGAGCACTGAATGCCAAATCACGATGCAAAGCAATACTGCTGAAAGCGACCAGATTGTTAAAACAATAAAAATTCCATATATCTCAGGAGTAACTGACAAATTAGCCCGTGTTTTGCAAAAGCAAAACATTACAGTAAGATTTGGTACAGTACACAAAATTCAAAAACTAGTATCTTGCACTAAAGACACTACCTAAATTATCAACAGAAGGTGTATATCGGATTAATTGTTTATGTGGCAGATGCTATATTGGACAGACGGGACGTAACATCAGCGTAAGACTAAAAGAACATCAGAGAAATATTAAATTATCTCAAACACAACTGTCGGCAGTGGCAGAGCATGCTTGTCAACAAGGACACTCAATTGATTTTGACAATGTTGCAGTGGTGTGTAAAACTAATTATTACTGGCAAAGACTAATTAGAGACTCCATTGAAATTGAGAGGAACAAGAATAACTTTAATCGCTCTGACAGCTACAGGCTTAGTGCGGCCTGGAAGCGTATTAGCAAATAATACACATTACATTTTGATTTAAAGAATTACTAATCTACAACTCATTACTGATCATAACCAATGACTGATTACTAATCCATTATATAATTACAATACCCCCCCCCCCCCGCCTCTAATCACTGCACCTGATATGAGTTAAGTGATGACGTCACCCTGCTGCTCTATATAAAACCGGGAGCAAGCGAGGGCTTTACCACTCTGGCGAATTGCTTGATGATGCTGGATGTATTTACCAGCGAAACGTCGTACTCAACCTGTAAATGTGGATTCACTCTTCAACACACCGGTGGGCTAAAGTAGTGAATTGTCTTTTGTCAACGTGACACTTTTTTTTGCTGATTGGCCGTGTCGGGTGGTGGAGGGTTACGACACATTTATAAATAAACGCGATCTAACCCAAAAACCTTTATTGCACAGTAAAGTAATTCTATTTTTTCATTTGCTCCACAGCCAGATAATACGACAAATCGCTAAACTTAAACACCCAGTCGTTCGTCAAAGTCGAAGGCAGTATAGTACTATAGTGATAGAGCAAGTGCAGAATCACTGAACCGGAATTGATAGCTTGAAAGCATTTAGCGCGGGGCCCATGAAAGTGCGGGGCCCGAAGCTACGACATATATAGCTACTTTTGCTCCTAGGATAATCCGGTACTGACCCCACATCCCCCCCCCCCCCCCGCTGATGCCTCTCAAACACTCAGCCACTCAAAATGCTCACTCACGATCTGGGCCACTCGCTGTCTCGCTCGCTCGCACGACGGGCTACTCGGCCACCCGCACTGCCGCCCCAATCGGCCATCCACGCACGCACGCAAATCGCTCGACGCCAACTCACTAACTCGATCGACTGCTCGGCCTCTCACACAACCGCTCCGCCAACTTGTACAATTTATTCAGCCGCGGTCACTAAATGCGAAAACAATCGACCGCTCACTCGCTCAACCACCCATCCGCTCAGCCACTCATCCACTCATCCACTCACTCGATTACTCAAACACAACCACCAGGTTAGGCCCACTGAACAATTCGCTCCTTTTCAGACGCGACCTGGCCGCAAATGACAGCGGCTCATCACGTGGAAATGTATAGCAGCCAGACACTCTAAACGTGTGATGCTTACTCTTTGGTTCTTTCCGTAAAGTCACGTAGTTGGAAACACGTGACTTTACCGAAAGAACCAAAGAGTATGGATTCTTGCAGTCACGAAAGCTTCAAATCAACGTGTGATGCTCTTTCTAAATGTGGAGTGAAAAACAGCCAGGACCCAGGGAAAAATCCACGCGACCGCGGGAATGACACCGCAAACTCCAAATACACAGCAGTTGTCAGGGTAGGGATCGAACCCACGACCTCCTGCACTCACCCGTCCGTGGACGTCTGTAATGCAGCTAAATCCAGTGAAAACCCCACGTTTAATATGATGGTGATTGATTTTTGTGTGTGTCCAGCCATTGATGACCAGGCTATTGTCATCAATTCAGGACACCTGAGAATTCCTGCTCAGTGTCTCTGACACGGCCATTGTGAAACCTGTGAGAGAGCGAGAGAGAAACTTGCGGTAAATACCCCGACCCAGGGCTCGAACCCAAGCTGCAACGGTGCCAGCTCAGTGTCTCTGACACGGCTATCACGAGCCCCTTCAGAGAGAGCGAGAGATCTAGAAACCCACACCCAGAGTTTGAACCCTGGATCTCAACAATGCCAGCTATGTGTCTGTAACACAGCCATTATGAACCCTGCGAGAGAGAACGAGACACCACCCAGACCCAGGCCTTGAACCCCGAGATCTCAGCGGTGATGACCCAGAGTCTGTGACACAGCCATCGCGAACGTCCGTGAGAGAGCGACAGAGACTCCCGCGTAAACAGCCAAACCCAGTGCTCGAACCCTGGCTCTCGGCAGTTCTGGCTCAGTGTCTATAACGCGACCATTATGAGCCTCTCCCCCCCCCCCATCTCCCCGAGCCCGCACCACCACCCCGTACAGAGCCGCTCGTTTCGTCCGTCCTTCTTGCACCAGCCTGGCCGGCGACATTTTCAAAAACCTCTCTCCCTTTTAACATGATCCTGACAGATGGGCGCCGTTAAAATAGCGCCCTGCCTCTCTCAAGGCACGCGGTGACGTGAGGTCAGCTGGTGCAGCAGCGCGCGCGGTGCCTCGCGCGCGAGAGACAGGGGGAGGGAGGGACGAGAGGGTGGGTTGGAGGGAGGGAGGGGAGGGAGGGGAGGAGGAAGGGAGTGGAGGGAGGGAGGGTGGAAGGGAGGGGAGGGAGGGGGGTATGGAGGGAGGGTGGAAGGGAGGGGAGGGTGGTATGGAGGGAGGGAGGGGAGGTGGAAGGGAGGGGAGGGAGGAAGGGGAGGGAGGGAGGGGAGGGAGGGTGGAAGGGAGGGGAGGGAGGGAGGGAGGGGAGGGAAGGCGCCTCCGAGTGAGCCGTCGGGATCTTAGCGTCGGCGATCAGGCGGGGGGGGGGGGGCGCAGATGGGTGACACAAATAAAAGGGGGACCCTGGATTCGTCTCCCCGGCTCCGTTGAGGTGGCTGCCGTGAAGCGATTTCCCCGATCGGGTCATGGATGGCAGATTTGGACCGCGACGCTAGGCGGTGCACGCGATTCCCCTGCTCTTACGAACGACGTCACGGGATGTTTAACGTCCACTGTGAGTGAATAAGCAGATGGCGGTGTAGTATCATTACAACATATTTATTTTTAAAAACACATCAAGCAGCATTAACCAGGTCGGCCTGCCGGAACACAACCGCGGACCTCTGCAAAACGAGCGGCGAGCATCACGGCCCCCGTGATGACCGCTTTGTCGTCCTCTCTTTCACCCCCTCCCCATATCCCCACCCACCGCCTCCCCCACCCCCCTCCTCCTCCTCCTTTCACCTTTCTCAGGATAAGTTCGGTACGGAGTGTAAGTTCCGGGAGCATCTGCTCCCCAACAACTACAACTCGTACGAGTCGGACGCCTACCCGGGAATGTACATCGCTCTCAACAAGGGCGGCAGGACTAAGCGTGGAAGCAAGGTGTCTCCTCGCATGAGCGTGACGCACTTCTTGCCCAGGATATGACGCGGGTGACGATGACGATGTTGATGATGGTCATGATGATGGCGACGACGCTGATGATGATGATGATGATCACGGTGGAGGTTGGAAACCACCGCACACCCTCTCCACGCTAAGTCGCGAATATTCGTTTTGTTGGAATTTTTACATCCAGGCTCTGAAATTCAAGAATTGAAATCCAGGAATTTTATTCCAGAAACTGAAATCCAAGAGATCCAGGATCTGAAATCCAATAATTGAAACACAGAATCTGAAATCCAGGAACTGCAATCCAGAAACTGAAATCCAGGATCTGAAATCCAAGAATTGAAATCCAGGATCTGAAATCCAGGAACTGAAAGCCAGAGGATCTGAGACCCATCGCTTGTCGTGCCCCGGCACGTGCGAGTGAAGAAGCTCTCGGGGCGCTTGCACTCCGCGAAGGAAATAACTCGATGTCCTTTCCGGAAAGAGGGCGGAGGTGACGCTCAGCGCGACGGTTCCGCGGCGGACAGAGTTCTGGCGTCGAGGGAGACGAACGAGCTGCGAAGAGAGGCGACGAGGAGAGACACAGACAGAGAGAGAGAGAGAGGAACGAGTGATTTTTTGTCGAGCGATGTGTACGGGAAGTAGAGATGACAGCGAATAAATGTTGTCTGCGGAACGCACGCTACATACTTGGGTCATCGTCAATGCCATCAGTGTTGGCCTTTTTAAAGATGGGATGTTAGTTCCGCAAATCATTTTAATTTTGTTTCACTTCACCAGGTAAGACCCACTGAACCAAGCGAACAACTGGCGGTGGCTTCATCTCCGTGAGCCACTGTTGACTTCCCACAAAGTGGTAGTCTCCTCGTTTTGCTTGGTGATTCCGCACGGCTGTCAGCCGTGGACACGCCACGCGAGGCGTGTCCGCGAGACTTCACCGAGGTTACAAAACAACAGTAGGACGTGGTGGGCCCCATCCCTCGACTCGGCACAACAAGCATGCGTGAACACGTGTTCTGGGCGTATAGGAGGCGGGGGGGACGAGGGTTCAGAGGTCAGAGACTCTGAGTCCGACAACCGGGATCGAATCCGGCTCTCAGCCCACACTGTCTGTGATTGAACCGGGTTCTCGAGCGCGGCCCAATCGCAAATATCGTGACACCATTATATATGAATTATATGTGCTGCCACTTCAAATTCCCCACTTCAACAATTTTAAATTGGAGACGCTGCAGTGCTCCGCCATGCGCGTCCCCCGTGGTGCCAGGCGAGGTGCTTCTCAGCACGAGCGCCTCAGTTGTGAAAGGTTGGAGGTGTGATTATGATGGCTACGCCGTGCCGATGAGTCCGAATGGTAATGCAACCGGTGTGCATTTAGCTCCTCCTTCCGCCACATACATTGAGAAGGAACAGCCACAAATCTCAGCTATTGTGAGCGGAATGTCTGTGGAAGAGCGCTGATACCATCTTGCCGTGCAACGCATGCCAAGTTTCCTGATGGCACCTTAATACGTGTGGGTGTATGTGTGGTGTGTGTGTGCGGTGTGTGAGTGTGGTGTGTGTGTGTGGTGTGTGTGTGTGAGGAGCGGTGGTGTAGCAGTTAGCGCTACGCTGCAGCTACGAACACGACGACCCGGGTTCGATTGCCACTCACGGCCAACACACAGTGACGAGTATCTGAACCGGTCCTGGGCCTCCCGTAGGTCGACTCAGCCTCAAATGAGTACTCTGTGCGGTGTGTAAACATCGCCACTGGGGAGACAAAGGCGGCCGGGCGTGGTGTTGGCCATCGACCCCGTCATGTGCCGTGCCGGCCTTCAATGGTGCTGCTCGCTAACAGCACTTGCCCCTACAGTCTGTTAAGGCGACACGGAGGATCTTTTATGGGTGTGTTTGTGTTTGCACCGTATTCTCCGGATTGTAAGACGTTCCGGAAAGTGAGACGCACACCCAAACTTGTGCCCGGCGTCAATAACGTTGCACAGATTTGGTCTAGCACACACAATCACTCACACAGTTACACACACACACAATCACTCACACAATCACACGCACACATACAATCACACACACATTCACTCGCACTATCACACACTCACAACACACCAATAACTTAGTCGACCAGACCCTCCTCTATTCCACAGTGGTCCAGGCGGTACTGGTCCAACTCCCGACAGAGCGACTGCAGCCTCTCCTCCGCAGCGAGGATTCGGACACCCCTCCGTGGCCAATCGCAGTGGTTTCCTATTGTTTCTGGAGGGACCCCGATGGGGGTTGGGTGGAGAGGGGGGGGGGGGGCTTTGCTGGGTCCCTGACACGAGCCGACTTTTCCTCTGTGGTCTAATTCACACTGTTGACTTTCCACAAAGTTGTACTCTCCTCGTTTTGCTTGGTGATTCCGCACGGATGTCAGCTGTGGGCACGCCACGCGAGGCGATCGGTAGAGACGGCGCGTTGCGAAGCGGTATCGCGATGTCGTCGTTTTTAAACGACGAGACTTCACCGAGGTCACAAAACAGCCGTACAATTTTTTCGTAACGATTGTGAACCAAAATGGTGGGGTAGGGGGGGTGGGGGTTGCAAGGGCAGGGGTCGAGGTTAAGAGCCACTGCCTGTCGAGGTATGTGAAGGAGGCACGTGTTGTCTGCTTGACCACGTGTCTGTATGTGCTGTGCGTTTTCACGTAATGCAGCGGGGATGTTTGTGTTATATTCGTGAAAGTGTTATATTTGTTTACATAGAAGTTGGAGACGGAGGGGAGGGGGGTGGCTGCGTTTGGTGCCATGTTCATGCGGCCTGGTAACTGTCAGAGGATATTTTAAATTTATGTTATAGCTGAACCCGTCAAAGCTACGGATTTAGCATGCAGCGGGAATGTGTCATCCTGTCAACTATGTCACCCGTGAACACGCACACAGACACACACACACACACGTGTGTAGGCACATACGCGCGGACAGACATACAAAAAAAGATAAAGATCCCCCGTGCAGCCTGTAATAGACTATTGGGGCAAGTGCTGTTAGCGAGCACCTATGAAGGCCGACACGGCACGCGAGGGAGGGGGTGGGTGGCCAACACCACGCCCGGCCTCCTTTGTCTCCCCCAGTGGCGATGTTTACTACCCACCGCACAAGGTACTAATTTAAGGCTGAGTCGACCTAGGGGAAGCCAGGCCCGGGACCGTTTCAGATCACCGTCACCGATGTTCGCCGTGAGCGGGAACCCATGTAAGTCCGCCAAGTTCCTAGTGCAGTGCGCTAACCACTGTGCCACTGCTCCCCTCTGCATATACAGTATTGTATATTAACACACATGCACAGAGACACACAAACACGCATCATTACACACACACACGTACCCATGCATATTCACACAGACAAGGAAATGCACGGATAGGCGTGGTTGTCATGTGGATATTCTCGTCCCTGCCATAGTAATGAGGACTTTCCACCACTGGCTAAGGGCTGTGTAAACGGGAGGTGCGCACCAGTGCCTTGTGGGTGCCCGTTTGAGTTGGACGACACTTGGATCGAGCAAGCGTCGGTGCGCTCTTTGTTTTGATTTGGCTCCAGCCCTGACCTTGACTATCCCGACGTTCTTCCGCAATGTCGCTTCCGTGGCGCCGCGGACTCTAGCTTAGCACGCGTGCGGGGCGATTAATTCCCTGCACAGTATGTGTGTGTGTGTGTATATATATTGCAACACGGAATAGACAAATAATATTTTTATACTTCTACAAAACTCTGCGGGATATTTCGGTGGCATTTGTGGATTGGGTAAAATAATCAAAACGACATAAGCGTTAGGAGCGTGCTCTCGAGGTATTTATTAGATTGCTGTTATTTAGATTTTTTTTCTTTGATATGAAACTGTAATCTCAAACACCACTGAAGTCCGGTCCACGCCCGAGCGTCAGTCACGCAATCCAGATTGCTCTCGAAATCATTGCGCAACGCAGTTGCGGCCTGAAGTTGCTTTGTCCACATCATCTGAGCGAGCAGTTGCGCTGTGAGGGCGTGGTCTGGGCGTGGCTACAGCTGTCTGGTCACGCCCATTACGTTAACTGCCTCGCCTGGTATGCAGGAGTGCGTGGGTTCGATCCCGACCCTGGCGCCTGCATATTTTGAGTTTGCACGATCTCCCCGTGGTCGTGTGGATTTTTTCTCTGGGTCCTCCGGTTTTTTTCCCCTCCCACATTTAGAATCAACATCACCACGCGTTTGGAGAATTTGGCTGCTATAAATTTCCACGCGATAAGCGACCTCGTTGAGCTATTGTTTGTGGCCATGTCGCTTCGGACGAGGGGCCGCATAGCTGAGTAGGCCTTGCATGGTAAAAAAAAAAATAAAACATCATGTATAGTTGAAGAGCTTAACCACTTTCCTGCTTAACTCTACCCCTCCCACACCTTAACCACATCGGGATCGTAACGACCAATCGCAGCTCGCTAAAGGTATCACGTGGTGATGAAATGCGTCGCCTCTGCTAAGAGCAACCAGTGTGAGTGCGACTGATCCCTGCAACCGTTTGGAGGGACGTCCACAATTCGAGATGCACGCAAACGTGTTGTGCAACTGATCGCTTTTTAGGGGTGGACCCGCTTGGAAGGAAACGCAGCGAGGAATATTTGTGAGCTTTGAGCGTTTCACAAGGGGCGTGTTCTCTACCATAACCACTATCTATGGCTGGGAGCTGAAAGAGTGCCTATTTAAACATGTCAATGTTGTTTTATATCTGTACCCTTTATTTATGGAGAATGTCATTATCATGATTGTTGTTGTAGTTCCAGAAAAAAATAATTACGTCGGCACGTGCTGCTTTGTTCCAAAAACTCAGAATTCTGATTTAACTTCTGACCTTTGACCCTTGAACTCGTCGTGCCAGATTGCTCGTCCCGAATGTCTCTTCACGCGATTTGTCGAATGACCGAGGCCTGCATCTCGCGGTAGGTAGACAATTGATGACGATGACACTTTGTCACTCGTGCTCTTATTTATTGAATTTTATATTTTCAAATGCGGCGGTGGTGGTGGTGGTGATGGTAGTGGTGGCTACACCCGCAGGTCGTAGCTATCGTGCGCGTGGCCTCTCGTCGAGTCCACGACCCTGGGCAGCGATCAGGTCGCGGGGGCAACCGGACCGCTCTCGAAGCCACCCCGCGCCGCTCATCTCGATCGCTTGTCGACGGCCCCTTGTCCACATCTGGGCTGGAAGTTCGCGCCGACGATGGGAGACTTTCCTTTGCGCGCTCGCGGGATTGCAGCGAGCCGACCGCAGCGCTGCCTACGAGTCGCGCGGCGATGAGCAACCAGCGTCGCGTCTACAAATCGCCACACTGGAGGGCAGATCGTCCCAAGCGAGTCGTGGTTCGCTGCTGCTGCTGCGAGCGAACGGTCGCGGTGCAGCTGCGATGTTCCGCGCGGGGCCCATTGCGCTGTGCGCAACCAATCGCTCGGGCGGCGGACAAAGCGGTCTCGCAGGCGCTGGGGAAATGTTCGCGGTGGGTTGTCGAGAGAGGGAGGGAGGGAGAGAGAGAGAGAGAGAGCGGTCCAACTGAGGCGAACGATCGCTCCGGCGAGGAGCCCCGCGCTTCAGTAAAAGTTAAATGCACTTTTTTGTTGCTCTCTTAAAAAATAAAAAAAAATAAACCCGTAACTGTTCGACTACGAAACGAGATGAATTGTTTCACAGGTGCTACGCTGACATGTTCTGACAGTTGCGCAGAGTGTCCATGGCTTAAAGTGACGCCGAGAGAATTGAATACAAATAAAAAAAATGCATTTTAAGCTGAAGTTCCGTATTTCTCCGAGCTTGGTATCAAGACGAATGTTTTTCTTGCCCCGTTGTTCATTTTTTATAAATACATTTTTAAAATATCTAGGAGAGAAACCGAACTCCATCGAATATAGCTGTGCGCAGGTGACGCTGAGGTCAGAGACGCTGACCCTGCACCGCTGATTCCTGGCTACGAATCCAGGTCTCGACCACTGCCCGTGATTGAACTGGGCTGTTCAGTGTAGCGAGCCGGTGGTGTCGGCGCAGGTGTGCAATGACTGACAATAGAGACGCACAAAGAAAGCCCGTGGCCGCGATAGACTTGGTTCCCGTGTATAAATTGGCCAAAATGCAGATCCGATGATAAAAAAAGTTGTTTTCGACTGTCACGCGACAAGCATTCACTCTCGTGTGGCAGATCGCGTGGAAAGGTGATGCCCCCCCCTCCCCCCCACTCAGAGGAGGGGGGGGGTCTGGGGATTTCAGAGGTAGTTCTGCGATATCCGCTATCGCAGGATTGCAATAAGGCACGGACAATCATAGTCGGATCTCGAGAACTCTCACATGCGTGTGGAGGATGGATGTGGACTGCGTAACAGGGGAAATAACTCAATCGAGGATGAATTTTGGCAGAAGGAAGGAAGCGACGGTTGAGGTGCGTCTGCATCGGCTTCACTGCCCGTGGTGACCTCTTCGTTCTGGGAGAGACAGAGAGGGGACAACGCATAGCA